TTCTTAGTGGAGGAGTTGTAGTGAGGTGGAAGGATGTCTAACCGTTTTTTGAATTTTAAGGTTAAGGAAGGTGTGTTTGATAACATAAAACTAGACACCAAGACAAAATGAGACAATTATTTCAATAACCATGACCTGTCTGAACGCAATAAAAAAAAGTCGAATTTCCATCCTACCCATAATGGCCACACGTGACACTGTGTGTGCTGAAAATGTATCGATCCTCTTTGCTCCTTTTTGTAGCAAACTTGTAGGCTTTGGAGCGGGTTCCTCCCACATCTAACTTGCCAGACTCTGGACCTTTTGGAAAATCCAAGCCAGCCTGATGAAATACAGACAACACATGTAGTTTATAGGGTGTTAAATAAGAAGCCATATTTTTGTTATCACTATTCTAATCACTTACTTCAGTTCTAACTAAATGCAAACTAAAATGATAATAAAATTCTTGGAAGAGCACATATGAACTGAAATGAAATGTTGAAAGAAAGAAAATCAACCAGCATGGTTTTTATCACGTTTGTGTTATTAAAACTCAGGTCTGCATTGAAAATAATCTGAAATGTTCAGCTTTGAGATGTTTCTTACCGACCAATCATTGGTATCTAGGGGTGCGCAAGCCTCATACCGAGAGCTGTTGGGACAGGAGGAAGTAATTATTATTAAACATCGAAACAGTTCATTTTTCATTAGGTAATAAAGCGTTCTAGCTCATTGAAATTGTTGATTTAACTATTGTTATTTTAATACCTAAACCTTATTGGGCAGGTATTTATAAACTACGGCTTCCATATGTGGCTCGGTTTTCAATTTAAAAGTTCTTTTTAAAATAACAACCTCTGAGTATTTATAAACACACTTTTCATTAAACCTGTACTTCTGTATTATGAAACATTTTTATTGGTTTGCTGTGTTATTCCAATTTTCAATGTTAGGTTTGCATTACTTGTAAGTTCAAAATCCTCATAATTAACAGAAATAAATGCTTTAAAAATTCATAGGTGTGTAATTATTCTATATAATGTTTCACTTAGTGATAAAACTGCTGAAACAAATGGACTTTCCAATAATATTCTAATTTAGTGAATTTAATCAAAATTTCTATTTTTTTTCATAATTTTCCTAATTAATTATTTATAGTGGGGCTGCACAGTGGTGCAGTTGGTAGAGCTGTTGCCATGCAGCAAGAAGGTTCTGGGATCAAGAATATTCGGACATTTAACTATTTGGGTTTCTTTATGAACATGAACTAAGTGGATTAAACCTATCCTAAACTTATTTTTAGAGAGTTTTGGTTACTGATTTATTTATCAGGATAACTATTATTATTTTCTTAGTTTGTGTTTTTTGAATAAATTATTGTTGCAAAAGGTAAACATAATTTCATATTTGAGTGTTTGGCTATTTATTTACGTCTCATTTAACTGGTGTAACATATTTTGCCTGATGTCTGTGACGTAATCCCCCTTGTGTGTATTTGTGAGTTCCGCTTTAAATGGGAGCCGAATTTTACAAGTAAATGGAATTCATTAATTCAACTCACTGACTCTTCTTCAACCTCATACATCAAGAATTGAGCCTGGAGAAAGGATAATTCTTCACACACTAAAATATTTGAAGGTGACTTAAAAGTGAAAGTCCATCTGCTGCTTTAAAATGCAATTAAAAACAATAAGAAAAATGTATTTCTTTTAACTCAGAAATTAAATTTCAAAAAGTTGATTCAACAACAAGAGACAAGTTGTTTAAACATTGTTTTTTAAGTTCTGTTTGCATATTAATCTTGAACTGTGAGTTTCAACTTAATACTGGAATTTAAACCAAATGATCATTTCACAATATGCAAGAACAAAACGGCCTTCACCTAATTAAAGAACACATATTTCTGTATTATTTCACTCACCTTATCAAATTAAAGTAACCACGTATTTTTATACTAAAATAATTAAAATTCTTGTTTCAACTTGATTAGAACAAAAGTTATGATTTGCTAATGAGTTTAATAAAGATCACAATAAATTCTGCTCAAAAACTTTTAGCAGAGAATAACTTTTTAAAATGAACATTTGGCAAAATAATACATCAGAGTCAGATCAATGTAACACACGTCCATCTCAGGATACAAAAATATGCCTCTAAGCATTCTGGGAAATAGTTCCCATTCCTGTGTTTTATTTTCTTTTAGTGTTTTTAGTGCTAATATATAAACTGTAGTTTATTCAACTCTCTCGGGTTTGACAAAATTAATAAAATGCTAACAGACTTACTGCTGTAAGTTTATCTTTCACAAACTCACACATTTAGGTTAAAAATCTATAACTAAATTTATATAGTTTTAGATTTTTTTAAAAATTAAGAACTAGACCAGTTTTGAATGTAGAAGTTAGTAGACGCAACTAAATGTTGCCCAAATGTTTTACAGTATATTAGGCTGACCCGCTCTGCAGAACAGGGTCAGTGCTCTACAGGCAAAGAGAAGTAAATACACAACCTCAGACTCCCTCCATAGCTTTGATATCTTTAAGCTGACAGACGAGACGTGCTCCATGATTTGTCTCAAGTTTGGGATTTTGTCTTACAACTTAACTCTGCTTCAAACTTTACCAATTTTTTTTGCTTTGGTCATCATGGTGCTGTATGTAACCTTAACTGTGAACTTAACTGAGAATCAAGATGAATTTTATTGATTTTTAAAAAAATTATACATTATTTTAGGTGACCTTTGAAGTCAACTGGTTGCACTTGAATATATTAAGTATCAGAGAGAGAAAAGCTTTATTCAACAAACCCGTGGTCCACAAAGACATAACACATAATAACACACACATAAAATAAAAATCTTATAAAAGGTTTACATACCAAGGATTCCACAGAGCCGGAAATCTTAGCGCACTGACACAGGGATGTGGAAACATTACAATAAGACTGTTCAATGAACTGCACAAACGATGCATAAACTTGTAAATCAAATTCCTCATGAGTGCCTGAAACGTTCTGACATGTGCATTACAAAACATCTCACTTGCACTGCTGAACCTGGGTTTCTTGAGTAGAATTCTCAGAGAGTCATTATAAGCAACCTTAAGCTTCTGCATGCTAGCTTTTTTTTTTTTAAATTATTCATTATTTTAGGTGACCTTTGAAGTCAACTGCTTGCACTTGAATATATTAATAAGTACTGCATTTTCCGCACTATAAGGCGCACCTTCAATGACTGGCCTATTTTAAAACTTTTTTTAAATATAAGGTGCGCCGCATTATAACGCGCATAGAATAGGCGCTACAGTAGAGGCTGGAGTTATGTTACGCATCCACTAGCTGGCCGGACGATGGTGACCCTTTTCCGTTTGCGCACAGCATGTTCGTGGAGAATGTGGTGCTGAATGACCTGCAGACGACCCGATTCTAGACGTGCGGTAGGTAGATAGGTCAGTCAAACTTTAATAACAGATTACAAACCAGCGTTCTGACAACTATCCCAGGCTTACCATAGTTGCTAGACTTACTGTGGCTCAATACTGGTCCATATATGAGGCGCACTGGATTATAAGGCGCACTGTCGGCTTTTGAGGAAATTGAAGGTTTTCAGGTGCACCTTATAGTGTGGAAAATACGGTATCAGAATATCAGTATAAATCACACCACATTTTTCATGTATAGCTTTCACTTCAGAATTATCCACTATGTGTTGGTCTACCACATAATGGTCCAATAAACAGACACGGTTGATTGGAACATGTAATTGTAACTTGTAAATAAAATTTGGTAATTATTAGTTCAACTATGTGATTCACCTTTTACAGTGTTCACAATCTGGTTTAAATACTCTACCTAACAGAGGTGTGAAGTCTGCTGTGGATGTCAGGACTGCATTGACTGACGTAACTCCAGTCCGCAACAGAAGATGGAAGCTTAAAATGAAGAAAAATCACATTATTGTTAATCCCTCAAGTCAGATGTGCAGCTCTTTATTTATGCATTTTTAGTTACTTTTTGGAGGACATGGTTTTGAAGAGGGTTGCTGTAGAGTTTACAGGTTTTGCTGGGGCTCAGGTAAGTCTTCACATCAATCACATCAGCTTTTATGTGCAGTCTGACCACATCAAAACCTTGCCCCACCAGATTGTGGCCTGGTACAAAAGGAGCAGCATCACACTCTGTTTCGGTCCCAGTCCGATATGACTGAACAGAGGAGTGAACAAGGACGCTTAGGAGAAGAAGAGCTGAAGTGGAATCAGGCAGCATCGCTGTAGTCAGAAGATAAAAGATAGAGAAAAAAAAAACATTTTTTCTACATAATGCATGGCATTTTCCTTATTTTTATGACTTATTTATACAACATCATAAGAAAGTTAGTTAACACTTTATTTGAAGGGGTGTGCATAAGACTGACATAACACCTGTCATGAACATGATTCATTCTTCATGAATATTTTTGATGGTTGTCATTAAGTGTCATTTGCTCAATGATGACACTTTTAATGTGAAGTTGACATTATTCAAGATGTCTTTGTTATGACAACCTGATATTAACCAATTAATTATCAAAATTTAGTAATATAATAAAACACAAAGATACATAACACTTTAAATTTTGATAATTATCAACTATTATGACATTTTTTTGACAGATGATTATTCTTGTCCATCAAATAAAGTGTTACCAAAAGGGTTATGCTAACACATGCAAAAATTAAAAATAACTGAACATACATATGTAAAATGTACATAAAAGTTCAAATGCATGTATGAATTAAATGCAAAATTGTTTCAATAAATATTTAAATGTATTTAATACATGGGTAAACATCCGTTTACAGCGCCATTCATTTTAACAGTATTATTAAAATATTACCCATTGAATTTGATGGGGCAGGTGCAAAGCACAACCCATGAATTAAGGCCTTAGTCCTCATGTTGGTGGTCGCAGGTTCGATTTCCGGCCTGGCGACATTTGCTGCATGTCTTCCCCCTCTCTCATAACCCTCTTTTCTGTTAAACTACTTTCAAATAAAGGCTGCTAGAGCCAAAAAATAATAAAAAATTTGGAGGGTCTGGCTGTCAGATAAAATAAATTCAGGATATGCTGCTAACATAGGACTTTAATCAGAATTGAAAACAAGTCGGACTTAATCAATCAAATTTTATTTGTATAGCACATTTCAGCAGCAGGGCATTTCAAGGTGCTTTACATAATTAAAGAAAAAAATAAGAACAGCATGTGACATTGAATAAACAGTAAGAAAGAGAAAGAGAGAAAAAAGAAAAAGATAAAAAAAATAAAACATACTTTTGTTATGGAATTTAAGTCCCTGTCGTCGCCGGACTCCGCCGTCTGTTTAACATGGGTATTATTCAGGCCCCGTCGCCTGACAGGACGGAATTTACAGATTTTCAGTCAAAACGCCATTTAACAAGCATTCTCACACCTCAGAGTTTTACTTAAAACGCCAATTAAAAGAAATTAATAAATAGATAAAAAGTAAAGGTAAAAACATTAAAAAACAGCAAAAACATTGAAGACATCAAAACCCAAACTCTAATCCTAATTTAACCATAAGTTTAAGTTGAGATTTAAAGGCACCCAGTGAATCAGCTGTTTTACAGTTTTCTGGAAGTTTGTTCCAAATTTGTGGTGCATAGAAACTGAATGCTGCTTCTCGTTTGGTTCTGGTTCTGGTACAATATTTAATGGCTAAATATTGTTTAAGCATATACCCATGTACTAAATACATTTAAATATGTATTGAAACAGTTACTCATTTAAATCATACATGCATTTCGACATTTATGTACATTTTATTATGTTGTGTATCTCTTAAGTTATTTTTTTTAAATTTTTGCATGTGTTAGTGCAAGCCAATATCACATTTTTGAGTTAGAGCGTATTTGTTCATGGGAGCAGCAGTTAATGATGGTGAAACATTAGTAAAAAGTTCTAGATAACACAAAAACATTCAGCCAGTAGATATTTGTGAAAAAACAAACATTGAAGCTCATTCATTTATCTGATTTAATTCCCATTTTCTCATTCAATATATTCCTTTTGTCTTATCAGTAGTTCGGTTACATGCCAGTAGCAATAAGTTATTCACAGAATAATTCTGCTGTAAAGTTGGGCTATTTAGTTAATAAATTTTCAGACTCGATTAGAAATAAGCATGTCGGTGATCATTCCTTGTGTGTAAAGTTTCTTCATTCCCTCATTAGAATCTGAGCTTGGCTTCATTAATTAATAATAAATTATGGATTACAATTTGTAATTAATAAATAAGAAAAACGTTGAAGCAAATTCTGATTTTCAATAATTTTGATGTCACCTTGTGAGGTTGCTACAACATTTTTGGTTTCCAGAATTCTGATTCCCAGCAATGAACAATCAACAAATTCAGCTTTGGAGATCCACAGATCTTTGATTTCAACAAACAGCCACACACCTCCACTATCAGTGAAATTAGATTCATAATAAAATTGTCCTATTTAAACATTTTTTAGGAACTCAGTAAACACACAATATTTTTATTTGCTGCAGTGTATTCTAAGGAAAGATACTCTTTTTTTCCCAGTTAATTTTATTTTCCTTTAGCATATTAAAAAATCTTACCTGTTCCAAAACAGACCGAAAAGAAGCTGAAACAAGCAATGTTTCTAAGTGTGCTGAGCTGAAAACTGTGGTTTATAAAGCAGCAGCCCTGGAGAGATAAGGATTCATACAGAACATTGTCTAAAGGTCAATTGAATGTAGTTACTTTGTTTCTTGTTACTGCTGGTAATATTTCAGGTTTTTTTATTTTGGCAGCGTTCTGTATAAAGTATCAATGCTAACAGAACAAACGGTTCTAATGAACCTTTTTGTTCCGGTAGGACATGCAGTTGTACTGGAACTGCAATGAAGGAGAAGTTTAACAGCAAGGCAGAAAAATGCATAAAAAACAACTTAAACTTAGCTTCAGTCAATAGGGAAACATGGTAACGGCAACTTAAATTTATTAAGTATTTTAATGATGTCATATTACTTATATTAATATGACATCATAAAATTGCTTATTGTAGCTGCAGCCCAGAAAAACCGTTACATAGTTTCTACTTCTAGTTACAACTTTACAACTGACACTATATCTGGTACAAAAACAGTCATGTAGCACACAGCTCTAATTCTGTAAAACTTCTGCGCCTGAGCAAAAACAACTAGACATAATGTTTCAAAGTTAAGTTATTTGAGAAAATATTATTAAAGTTTACAATGTATGTTAGAACTGGTGGCTATACTTACATTTAAACTGGTGCATTAAATTCAGCGTCAGTTTATTTTTCTCATTAGTTAACTTGAACTACACTTGATGGATTTTCCCTCTGTCTTGCCATCCATGCAACACCATGAAATATTTATTTTTCTTTTAGCTTCTGACTACAGCAATGCTCCCCGATTGAACTTCCACTCTTCTTCTCCTAAGCGTCCTCATTGTTCACTCCTCTGTTCTGTCCTGTCGGATCGGGACCCAAACAGAGTGTGATGCTACTCCTTTTGTACCAAGCCACAACCTGGTGGGGGAAGGTTTTGATATAGTCACACTGGAGAGGAAATGGAGCTCATGTGATTGATGTGAAGACTTATCTGAGTCCCAACAAAACCTGTAAACTCTGCACCAACCCATGTCCTCCAAAAAGTAATTAAAAATGCATAAATCAACAGCTGCACATCTGACTTGAGGGATTAACAATAACGTGATTTTTCTTCATTTTAAGCTTCCATCTTCTGTTGTGGACTGGAGTTACGTCAGTCAATGCAGTCCTGAGATCCACAACAGACTTCACACCTCTGTTAGATAAAGTATTTAAACTGGATTGTGAACACCTTAAAAGTTAAATCACATAATTAAACTAACAATTACCGGACATTTGTTTTACATGGTACAATTACTTGTTCCAATCAACCGTGTCTGTTTATTGGACCTTTATGTGGTAGACCAACGCAGTGGATAATTCTGAAGTGGAAGCTAAATATGAAAAATGTGGTGTGCATTTATACTGATATTCTGATACTTATTAATATATTCAAGTGCAACCAGTTGACTTCAAAGGTCACCTAAAATAATGTACTTTTTTTTTTTTAAATCAACAAAATTCACCTTTATTCTCAGTTAAGTTCACAGTTAAGGTTACAAAAAGCATCATGAAGACCAAAACAAAACAAAAAAAAACAAACAAACAGAAAACCTAAAGTTTGAAGCAGAGTTACACAACACAAAATCTCGAACTTGAGACAAATCATGGAGCCAATTACTGAAGCCATTTACCACTGTTAAGACAATCAAACCTGTTACCAGTGAAGCTCATACAACCATAAAACCTAATGAAGAGATCAAAAATGATGAGAAAATTCCACCAGGAAATAATGCACTCAAAGTTGTCACACCTGCGTCTCTTATCCCTTGTGTTTACAAATGGGGTCCAACCAACCCCACACCCATATCACTTGTATCATTGGCCTCAGTCCTCGCACACACAAGGGTTAAAGGAACAGCAGCACAAGTTCAGTTTATCTTAACAAGAAAAGTCTTGCCCACCTAAACACCTTCAAAACCCACCCCAATTGGAAAACTAATCACTAAACCAACAACTTTCATTAAAATGACAACACCCTCAAAAGATCTTACATCAGAAGATCTAGACAAAAATACAATTACCAAAAATGAGCAAATTGTGACGCCTAAGACAGTAAAACACACCACCACACCATCAAAAGTTAATAAAGTCATCAAAACACATGAATTGATCGATAGCAGTGAAGATTTAGATTTTATTCAAACACCTGCACAAAACCAAATGGCTAAAATGTCAATTTAAAATAAATATGGATGTTCTGAAAAAAGAAGGTTGTTGTGAATACCATGAAAGAATACCATGTCTTTCATTTTATAATAAAAGACATGACAATAAAGTAACTCCAAGAGCCATGAATAAACTACAGGGCATTAAATGGACCTCTTTATGGATAAGGGGAGATCCACTTTGGCAAAGAGCAATTCAGAATACATGGTGTACTTGGTCATGGTGTACTGCAAAAATAATTAAGACAAAAATGACTGCATAATTTGTACTATTGCTCCTGGAGCAGCAAAAATTGTTATTCCAGAGAAATACACCTCTACAGAATGTGCACTACGACAACAACAAATATGTAAGAAAGGTAAATTTGTTCCAGAAACCAATGTAGTTTCATTCTTTACACTACCAATGCCTGGTATGAATTGCAGATT